ATATAAATAAAATAAAGATTAAAATCTGTAAAGCTTTTACTGCCGCATTTCGATTGAGATTTAGAAACATTTACTTTTACAATATAGAAACATATAGTAATTAATAATACAAAATTTATCTTGCAATAAATTAACTACATATATGAAACTATGCCTTAGGGATATACGAATATACTATGAATATGTGAATATATAAAAGCTATTCCATTTCTGTAAATTACATATATTAGATTTATAATGTTTTCCGTTTTTCTGGTATTATTATAGCTTGGATAAAATATAAAAAACTAATAGAAAATTCATATACTTGCATAAAATATATGAAACTCGTCTACATAAATCATACAATACAAAAATGTAAAAAATGCCAAATTATAAAAAAGTCCAACAAATGCCAAAAACTCTTAAAAAGAATTAAAAACACTTTCCCAAAATTTTAAAGACCATAAAAACAAACTTAAATGAATATTATCTTTGCAAAAAGAAAGAAAAAGTAAAAGTTTGCATATCTCATAACCAATATGTCGTTTTCATCAATTCACTTTTAACCCTCCAGAAACTCACGCGAAATTCAGTAAAGAGCCTATAACTATAAGTTTCTCTGGTTACAAACAATTGAAGCTAACCGAGCTGCCCTTTGGGCTGGGTTAGTGTATGGCTAAAGGTTCAGCGCGGTTCGTTTTTATGGCAAAGTCAAATAGGAAAACAAAATAGAAGTTAATCTAATAACAAAGATTGAGCGCAATAATTTTAGCGATTGGCAGCGCAGATTTACCATGACCAAGCGGCAGGAGAAGGAGCAGGGGGAGTAGCAGGGGAGGAGGAGAAGCTGCCATAGAGGCAGAGGCAGTCAGCCGGCAGCAAAAGTAAAAACAGCATCAAGTAAAAGGGAGCGTCGTCTCGACACGGATACCAAAACCATGGTCCACACTCCATGGCTGGCATAGTCGAGCAGCAGCAGCAGCAGCAGCAGCAGCAGCAGGAGGAGGGGCAGAGGGGCGTTAGAGATGAAGGCAGACTGAAGCTGGAGAGCGTGGCCAAAGGCTCGTTAGCGTTTTGGCCCAGCAAGTGCAGCAGCTGCTGCTGCCAAATGGGAGCTGCACTTGTTTTGTTGTGTCTGCACAGTGTAGTGTCTGTCTGTGTGTGTGTGTGTGTGTGTGTAGATAGCGTATCTAATGGTTACATTTTAGTGCATACAAACGTATCTAATCTCTTAAACGTTTTATTAAATTACGCCAGACGTAGCACAAGAGAGGGGAAGAGCAGGCTGAAGGCGGTGCAGGCAGCGTCAGGCCAATCGAATTTGTTGCATCATTGTTTTTGGCCCAAATGGCCATTGCCTTATTTGTGTGCTTGGCTAGAAGCCATGACCTTGCCGAGCTGTGGGGCTTCAAGGTAAAATTTATGAGATTTTACTCTCTCTCTCGCTGTCGCTCTCGCTCCCACTCTCCCTCTCTCTCCCACTATTAATATCCTGGCGTTAATTCTAGCAATTTGGTTTGGCATGCGTTTAACTAAACACTTTAACAGTAAATGCTGGCAGCAACAGCTGCTACAACAACAACAACAATAGCAGACAACAAACAAACATTGCGACAAGTTAAACAAGTTGACAGCCAGACAAACAAAACAATATGCAAAGAACGAAAGTTTTGCTAGATAAACAAAAGAGGCTGCTGGCTGGCAGGGCTGGCAGTCAGGTAAAATGCCAGCGAAAATGTGGGCATGGCCCTATGCACAAAACTAAACACAAAACACCAAAAATTGTTGACAATAGAACAAAAGACACTCAACAATGACAACAGCAACAAAAAGCTATAGCAGCAGCAGCAGCAGCAGCAGAAGCAGCAGCAGCGAGAGCAGCAGAGGCTGCAGGGCAACATGCAAAAGCTGCTCTTAAGTTTTATGAAAGCAGCGGCAGAAGACGCAGCAGCAGCAGCAACATAAACAGCAGCAGCAGCAACAGAGGAGGCAGCAGCAACATAAACAGCAGCAAGAGCAATAGCATGAATATAGCAGCAGCAGCAGCAGCAGCAGCAACAGCAACAGAAGCAGCAATAACAACAGCAGCAACAGCACTAGCAGCAGCAGCATCAACAATACCACCAACAACAACAGCAACAACCACAACAGCAGCAGCAGCAACTGCATCATCATCAACAACTATGCAAAGTCCTAGAAACGAAATTGAAATCGAAATCGAAATCAAGGCATGCATATGGATATAGTTGGTCTGAATCAGAATTGAAAACAGCAACTGAAATCAAGAGCAAACAGTTGAGAGGCAGTCGCAGCAGCAGCAGCAGCAGCAACAACAACAGCAGCAGCAGCAACAGCAACAGCAGCTGCATAAGCAAATGAAGCCGCACATGAACACGACATTGCCACGGCCAGCGAGCTGCATGCAAATGAGGTCCAGCCCCTCGCTAGGCTGGACACACAAAAGCGCAAAAAAAGAGAAGCGAACGGTGGGCGTTTGAGGATTATTATTGCAGCCGCCGTTGCTGAAATGAGCACAAAAACTAGCACCGCAGGGCAGCTAAGCTCGAGTGTGTGTATGTGTGAGTGTGTGTGTGTAAAGCTCGCAATAATTGCTGCTTTTTTTTTTTTAGCTATTTTTTTGCTCGTGTTAAATGGCAACAGGAGCAGCAGCAGCAACAGTGGTGGGAGCAGCAGAACAATTGAAGTCAAGCCTGCATGCAATTTTTTTCAGCTCTTGCAGGCGAAATGCAACTTCATGTTTCCTCATCGTCGTCGTCGTCGTTGTTGGCTGGCTGCTCCTTGATTTGTTTGCTTAGGGCTCTCTGACTGAAGCAACAACAACAGCAACAACAGCAACGGCAACAACAACTGCAGCAAGTCTCAGTTACAGTTTGCTGTTCTCAGTGTCTGCGGCTCAGCGAATGGGGCTGCCCTTTTTAGCCTGCAGCATGAATTTATTTGTTTTGAAATTGTAACTGCAGCAAGTCAGCCGCATCCGCAGCAGCAGCAGCAGCGGCAACCTGAGAATCATCATCAGTGAAGTTGCAGTTGCCTTTTCAGTTATTGTGCCTTGTGCTGATTGTGCGGTTTCGATAAGTTCAATGCAACTGCAACAACAACCGCAGCMGCAGAAGCAGAAGCAGCAGCAGCAGCGACAGCAGCAACAGTAGCAATAAGCCCACATGCATCACGTGGCCAACATGGCAATGGCAAGTGATAAATTAGCGCAAGCCAAAAGACACTGAATAACTGCAAAAAAAAAAAGCCCAAATGTCAGCCGAAAAAACGAAAAAAAAATATATAAAAAATCAAAAAATAAGGAAAGCACATTTTCACTTTATGCGGCAGTCAGCAGCAGGCACATGATTAAAAAGTTCAGATAAAGGATGAGTCAGGCAAGGCTTATGCCATCGGCATATACCCTATGAAAAATTCACACACTTATCGCTGATTACATAAAATGCGAAATGTGAATGTGTGGCGCAAATTTAACTTCAGTTGAATATTAAAGAGCAGCAAATGGAAACTAAAGAGTTGGATTTATATGCAGTATTCCATATATGAAATGGCTAGGTATTGTTTTGTTTTTTTTTTTTTTTTTTT